TGATACAAGTTTAATTCATATTGATTAGTGACTACTTAAAATATAATATACCCTTGAACAAAGTATATTCTTACCCCCAAAATTGAAATCATACGTATTAGGCATATGTACCATGGGATGTAGTACGGATAGATGACTAATTACTTCACATGAAATAACTAATTTACATAATAGAAGGATTGGTAGATTTAATGCAAAAATGGAGCGGGGATGAATCAATGGAGGTGTTGGTTCCCCTTAACTTAGTAGAGGTTTTAGTTAATAATTAATGAGAACATAGATGGGGTGAATGTAGTGTATATGATCATGAGATGAAATTTGGATATACTATCATTATAGATCCTTGGAACTTTAGGGCATAAATTAAGGATAAAATAACTACTAAGGGTTTTTTTATCAAGCAGTTTTTCCTTTTTTAATTGACTTAAGGGGAGAGAGATAGAGTGCACTAGAAGTATAAAGTGTTTAAGTTACTTTGCTCAATCAATGTTAAATCTTTGGCTTTTTAGGAATTTTATAATTTTTTTTTCTATTGTGTGCTTTGTAAGTCAATTCACTTATAAATAGTAGCACTAGGTTTTCTTACAACTTTTGTACCATTATACTTAATCTCTACCACCATTGCTATTTAATTTACCATTTGAAAAAAAAGTAAGTGTATTTAGCCTTTATAATGGTTTTTAGTTGTTAATAATATGTTTTTAAGCTTTCTTTTTTTTATTTCCCTATTTGTGCATTAACAACTACTTTTGTTTTTCTAAGATGTTTCTTCTAATTTTTTAAGTTTTGCCCTAATGCTTCAAACTTTTTTTTCTTTAGAGGAGGGGTTAAAAGGGATATATATATAAGAGTCAGATGAGCAAATATAGTAATTGAGCGAATATAAAAAAACATAGATTATGGAGTGAAAATGAATATAATAAGTCCAAATGGAATATCTAGCCTCAATATAATGAAGTTAAATAGATGCAATAGTGGAGTGAGGCCAAATATTAATAGCAGAGTGAAGACAATCATAACAAGTTTAAATAGAATTAGTGCTTCAAAATTTTTTCTCTTTCAATGAGGGGATAAAAAGGATATAAAGGATGAGCATAATAACTTTGACCTCCTGGTGCTAAATGAGGACAAAATTTATAAATCTGAAATCTGAATTAACACAAATCTTAGAGGTTTATAAAGAAGATGTTTGATGGTCATGTGTTTAAATTAACAGTGGTGTTAGAGGATGGTTGGAAATAAGATTTAGAGACAGAATGTATTATTTACTATAATAGTGCTTTGTGAACTATAGTGGCTTTTAATGTCCCTTGCTTTTATTCAAAGTTATGGCTTTGAAGTTAATTTGAGCATTTGGCACTACATATGAAGTTGCAACTAGTTCATTATGAGTCTTTAATTAATTGATTTCTGCCAGGACTTTGAGTTTTATTTCAATCATGGTTATTAATAACTATATTAGTGGTTTTATGAGAGTTTTAAGTTCTTGTGGCACTTTATAATTGCCCAACAGAAGTTCCAGATGTTCTACATGATTAC